AATGAAGAAAAACTTTAATATAAGTTTAACATGCTAAACTTATATTAAAGTTTTTCTTCATTACCCATTTAAGCCGTCTCCAGCCATTATTAATACTATGTTTTGGTCGCGCGTAATCCCGATTCAATTTTATTACTCATCAGGATCTTTACCAGCGTACCCTAAAATTGAAATTCTTTCAGGCAGGATTAAAGTGAATTAATCTATGATAACTTGGGCGTGGTCAAATATATCAGTCGAAAGGGTTTGACCTCCTGAGTCCAAAACTGTAATTAGATCTCAAATCGGTCAAGAGATGACGGAGCTATGAACTTCAAGTTTGTACTTTATAAAAAAAACAAAAAAAAACAGAGCTATTCTATGAGCCGCTATGCCGCGGCTGAAAATTGGCTTTCTTGCATTATGACTAAAACTACTATGATGACGAGAAAATCGTGGCTGTAAACTATGCTATACGTATTGCAAGCAAAGTGAGAATGAAAACTATTATATTGTGGTTTGTTTATTTATCAGTCTATAGGTGGTACATAATTTCTATGTGTGTGTATATGTTCATATATATATTTATGTTTTACTTTTCATGATGGTGGGAAGGTTCTAATAGTACAGTTTAATTATTTAAGAGAGATGTGTTACTAACCCTTACCTGTTTTCAACTGTTAGCCAACGTTTATGGTAAGTTAATCTACAACAAAACGAAACTAGAACATTCCATTGCGCTACTCAAAAATTATCATGGCTGTGATTTTAACATTAAATAAATGGAGGATAAACTATTGCAGAAAGCTTTATTTTGTTTGTTTTTGAAAATATTCATATAGAGTGCATAGACATAGTTTGGCTACCTGGGCTTTAACCTCCCTCCCCGAAATTTTGGAGAATAAAATTTTCTCCAGCTTTAAACATCTTTCTCTGATTACATAGATAACCTCCATCCCCGAACATTCTTCGTGGGTATAACACTGATAGAATTTCTTTTCTCACTTATATAATTATGTCGGGACGATTGCTACTAACAGTAATGATGTTATCTCATCCCACATTGTGGAAATATTTTGCTCATCGTATAATATAGTGTACTTTCACCCCAAGTTATCCCGCACCTGCTGCCTACGCTGCCTATTTTTAACCGTATAACAAGACTGATTGTCACACTTCACAGCTGATGAAAAAGGTGTGTGTGTTTAGTGACTTATCGGGGTTGGATCCTTGGGCCTTTCGATCCGTAGTACATCAAGCTAACCACTAGACTGTCATGGCAGGTAAAGTCAGTGGCCCCATAATGAAGTAAATACTACAATGTTATAGATTGGGGTATAGCCATCCCTAATATAGAACTACTGACCAGAGGAAAGGCAGGCATTCAGCAGCACATGCCGCCAACGCGTGGGTATTTGTAACCGAATAGCGGGATTAACTATCCGGGTTATAACACCTCCACAGCAGAAAGTGCTTGACTTATTCAGTGACATATCGCGGCTCGAATCTTGGACAGTCTGATTTGCAACTCAGCACGCTAACCACTTGGCCACGGCCGGCCTCGTGCTAGGGCAAGTCAATGATCCCATAATGCAGTAAAAATGTCCGTTTATCCTTATAACTTCAACTGGTCAGAAAACTTTTAATGCTGTACAAATTTATATAGGCCGTTATTTTGTTAAAATTCTGAATAGTTTGATAGACTTATATGTGTGTGTGTTGTTTTTCTTTTACTCATCAAAGTAAATCAGTATTTACATAGAATTTGAAGAATATGTAGAATAGACGCTACTAATTTATTCAGCAAATTAGCTGTTTAAGATAGTAAAAATTAATATAAAATCCAATATATATATATATATATTACTCTTATTTTATTAATAATGGATAGAGATTTTTGTTCTAATTTTATGTCTGGAATACTGCAACATATAACTTTAAGGATAAGACTGGGAATTTCTGTGACTAGCGTAGAACAGCACGAATTTACTGGTCAAAGTGAGTGGTTTATCATGAACCTTTGTTTATACGTGGAAATACTCAAGTTTTTCAGAAAATGTAGAACAAATGCTGATTTAAACCAGCAAGACATTTTTAAACCTGTATCGCCATATCGTTTGACCTAAATATAAAAACAAAAAATGCCCTAAAAGGGTTTTAAATCTTTTTAAATTTGCTTTTTAGTAAAATTACATACTTTATATTTTGTCTGTACAAATAAAATACAGAAACAACAGCAGAGAATAAATGCAAAATATATAATATTTTTCGAAAGGTGGTTGAAAAATACTAATGTCCAGTTTAATGACAGTCTTTAGTAAGTATTACATAGTTTTCATAGTACCGGTTATGAAGTTAACTGTTGACAACAAACAAGTCAAAGTTAAGTTGAAAACTAAAACATAAAGTTTAGTCGTCAGATCGCTCACTAAAGAAATAACAAGAAAAATGTTTTAAACATGACACAATGTATAAAAAAAAAACAGAGATAATCTCAAAGCTCGTCTGATGAATTCAAACATTATCTTGTTCTAAACCCATTGTGGACGCTTGTTGTATCGCAGGTTAGAACACTTACATAATGCTAGCGGCCACAAGTAACGTATTATGTCCATTCTTTTGTTCATCCAGAGAAATTCTGAATCACCTTTTTTTAAATTTTTAATCACTATCTGAAATAACGAATAGAGTAAAGAAAATATTAATGTATCTTATTACTTCAATTTTATTAAAAAATAACAAGCTAAAAAATAAGCGAACTATTTAGACCTAAAACGGAAAAACAAATGTTCAAAGGATTCATGTTAGTATGAATTTCCAAATAATAACGATACGTATGCATAACATAGACAATTGTTTAGGTGCGTTGTTTGACTGCTTGTTTCAGTTTTTGTAACAATTCGTTGGTAAAACTGTTTTGTATGACAGAATACTGTGAAGTTTCCTTAATATTTAAAAAAAACTAGGCTGTACTTATGTGTGCATAAATATATGTTTTGTACGTGTATCACACTGCTCTTACCAAATTTGTGCAAGTACAAAAACAAAGCCTCTATATGAGGCTGGCGCCTGTCATTTTTTCAGTCACATACCTGCTGCCTTCAATAAACAAACCCGTTTGTTCATGACAACGTTTTAATATTTCGAGCAGGTTTATTATCTTTTTAAAACCAATAACTTATTATACATTAACTTTGCTTGTGCTTTAAACAAGTTTTTACAGAGTATCGATGTGGTTTATGAAAGAATTTTATGTAATGTCACACACCTTGTTCTAAAACAAGTAAATAACCTTGAGATACGATATTAATTAATGTTTAATATCATGACGTCATACTTCAATGTTATTAGTAAAAGAAACCGTCAAGTTAGTCTACACAGAGCGCAGGCGAGTATTAAATCAATGTTTAACCTTGTT